GTGGCACACAGCAGTGGCACACCTAACCTGCATGACAGCTGGAAGACAGCTTATTCTGCCACAGCGAGCTTGAGGATATCTATCAGACTAAGTTTAAAAACAAGCCTCTCCAAGAAGTTTGAGGCAACTGTGTTCTTGGAAACCAGGGGGACACAGGCCAGTTGCCAATCAATCTTGTGAGTGAAAAATACTGCCTGCTGCGTCAGTAAACAAAGGGAGTTGCAAGCATCAAGCCCTCAGCCACTGCTGCCTCCCCCACGGTGCCCTCCGCAAAGGACACTTAAGATGGGAAGAATGCACACCGGCCCTAGAGAGCTAAGGTGCACATCAAAGCAAGGATTTCAAGGAGCGCAGACTTCTGCATCATCCCATCCATAGAAAAGCGCTAAATTCATTAACTTGAGATACCTGGTTTTCTTTCACTCACAGCAATCTTTTGCTGTTCTCACTCCCTGGTTGCAAAAACTCCTGCATATCCTGGCTCGTCCCCTACCTCTCAGGAGCTGTCCCCCAGAGCTCTCTGAGAGGCTGTGTCCTGGGCTTGAGGTCCTCAGAAAAGCCACTGAATAAAACATAATACTGAACTTTCAGGTTGTGCATTTTTTTCCCCAGTCCAACACACTCTCTACTGTGCCTTTCCTAAGCCCTTAATCCCAGGTCAGGGGTGGTCCTAAGGAATCTCCCACTGGCCCCTGAAGTTCTGCAAACTCCCATGTAGAAGGCGTTGGACACCCAGGCATCTTGAGGAGAAACCATCCAAATTTTTCCAAATTGCTTCTCTAGGCGAGATGCTTACCATGTTGGGGAAGCCAGCGCAATGCCACGCCTTCGGGCAATCAGAGAGGTCATTTTCTTCTTCCTCTTCCCGGTTCTCCTGGCGGCATTTCCTCCTTCACTGTGACTAAGCACTGGAGCAGCTGTGGTGGAGTGTAGAAAGTTTGGGCGGCCTCCAGGATGCCGGGACCAATCCTACATTCTGTCCTCCCATGCTTCCCACTTCCAGGCCTCACCCTTGTTCAGAGTCCTGCAGGAGGCAGCTGGATGCAGAAAACAAATGAAGGAAGTGACATTCGGACCAAGGTCCCACCCTGCCAGAGGCGTCGCCCAGTTTTATTTCCTGTGTCTCTTTTCAGGGGATTTTCACACAGGAGGAAGGCGCCTGAATGCCTGTGACTGAATGCCTCTGGGACAGGGTTGATTGGCTCCTTTATAAACTCACCCAAGGACACTCAAACCTACCCTGGCTGAGAGCACCCGACTGGGGGCTGGAGGACTAACAGTGGGTCAGGGAGGGAATCCTCTGCTCAGGCTGACTCCCAAACTTGGTCCCTTCCTAGCAGAGCCGGGCAAAGTCTGCAGGAGGCTCTGTAGCCTGGAGGTCACCTTGGCCTCCTTGAGATGGGCACAAGGCTCTGTCTCTTTGCAGTTAAGCCCGTGTTACCCAAGACTTCTGAGAACAGACTCTGGTTCAGGCAAAAATAAAAATTAAAAAAAAGTGGTGTTGCTCTGTGGTTTATTCGGGTTGCAGCTCTCAGGAGACCCAGATTAGGAAGCGCTTGAATTGCGTTCCCAGGATCCACAGAATTGGGCAAATTTATTAAGGCAAAGAAAACTACAAGGTTACAGAAGTTGTTGAGAACTATGATTGGTGATCAGCTCAGGCAGGGAGTAAGCGTGTGCTGCGTGTTAATCAAGGATTGATTGGGGAGCAAGATGGTTACGTAGTAATGGGTTCTTGGGGGGTGGCTTTGAAACTGTGAATTGCAGCGGGCAGCTCTTTGCAGATATTGTTTTGAAAATGACTGGTGGTGTCCTTGAGTTTGATTCTGTTCAGAAAATTCAAGTTCTTAGTGATGCAAGGTGTCTGAATTCACATCCACCGGGCTCTGTTATGGTGGCCTGAACAATAGGTACTCCATTTTGATTTTACATGAGTTTAAATGTGTCATTACTAGTCTCCATCACATGGTCTTTAATGAATGATTTTTTTTTTGGTGGACTATTTTAATCTCTGAAATGATTTAAAAGTTCCAGCTCTTGTCAAGAATAAAAAGCAGATGACTCTTTACAAAAACTTTGGCTGTGTCTGAAGAAATTAATATACTCATCATATGATCCAACAATCTTACTTTGCATTTATACAAATGAGTTGAAAACTAATCTTTACCCAAAGCCTGCGCAAGTGTATTTATAGCAGCTAAACTCATGACTGCCCAACTTTAGAAACAACCCAGATGCCTATCAATAGATAAATGTATAAACAGAGCTGTGGAGTCTTCAAACAATGGCGTGGTGTTCAGGGACTTGAAACAAAAAGCTGTCAAGTCAAGAAAAGAAGGAAGAACCTTTAAAGCATGTTGCTAAGTGAAAAA